CCACCTCCAACTGCTGTTCCGAATAACAGATCCACATCAAAGCTGTTACTCTGCGCCTTGATTTCTCCCCGCCGTGATCATTTGTCCGTTCTGGTGTTGCGCCATACGCATCATCCAGTCCTGGGATGTCCGTCATGGAGCGTTTGCGTGTAGCAACGGCTGTCACCCTAGGCCAAGACCTCCTCGAGGTAACTCTTTCCCTCAGGGAGGAACACCGCTGACAGCGTAGATGTGTGGAAATCTATCATAGGAAGAATAATAGGAAAGCTAGAAGCGCTAGTTACCTCCACTAACCCTGTACATTTATCAAGACTTCCGGTTGTCTCCACGCTATGGGTCCGCGCTTTTGGTAGGCTTTAGCATTCAGGTGTCCGGGTATTTGTGGAGTTTAGCCAGAAGCGGTCACAGCGTATCACTCGGTTACTGTTTTCTCTCTTTATATCATGCTCATGATGTTTAAAGAATAGTGGGAAATTTCGAATCGGGCTAGTGCCTGTCTGCCCAACCAATGTAAGAGGAAGAATCAAGAAGACTAGGGGGGAAAAAAATATCGGAAAAATAATATAAACACCTTGGCCAAAGGTTACAATTGGTGGTTTAATTGCAGTCATCTCCTAGGGTTTAGGCTGGTAAGGGAGTGCCGCCTCCAAGAAAACTCTCCTCACTGATGGCTGAAAGTGGGGGAATGTGAAATCGGGGGCCTCGCGCATGGTCGGTAGGGGATATTCACGGAGCTACGCTCATACAATGAGACCACGGCCCAAGATAAAAACATTCTTAGAGAAACATTTCATAGATGAGCTAGCATAAGGAAAAGTATAGAGAATGGAAAGAAGGAAAGAAAAAATTCATTTATGTCACGGCTGTGTTCTCAGAAAATGTTTGTGGGCAGGTCCTCGCTGCTGGGGGCTGGGGATTTGGTCGTCTTCAGCTTTGATGTCTACGAGGAAGGGAGGAAAGGGAGTGCGGGGGGCGGGGGTCTCCGTTTTGCCTCCCTAACCCACAAACACTAATAAGGATATTCACCTCTGCAAGTCTTCCTAGCAAACCGGGAACTATCGGACTGCACTTCTCGTGTAGTCCTGCATATCCCTTTATATCTAATTTTTTTTTTTTTTTGGTGGATTTGAGAGCATGCCTCCCTCCATTTACTCCTTGGATTGGGAATCCCCATAAAGGGGCTCTAATATCTGCTTTAAGCCAAAGGTTTTCTGGAGGGCACGGGTGTAGTGATTGGAAGACCGCCTTAACTGCTGTTGGGGGTCTCAAGTTCTTATGATATTATGATAACGTAGGATTGATACCAAATCCTCTAGTTAGGAGATTGTACTTGCGGAGGTGCTACCAAATTTGATGAATTAATACCACTGTGCTGGGAGATGTCATGTCCGGAGTACTTCACTATTCTCAAACACCCACCGCTCTGCTCTGGTATCCATAGCACTATCTTCTCGGGTATCGGCTGAGCAACTTGGCAGCTTCTCGCTCCTCTCCCCTCATAACTGTACAGTGGGGAATAAATAGGATTTTTTATTTTAAAAAAGGGGCCAAATGAACACATCCTCCAGATAGAACCATTCCACCATGATTCCGAAAAAAAGGAAAAAAAACCAAGCATCCCGCACAACTTATCCTGACAACCAAGCCCCAAAGTACCCTCCCCGTATAATTCTCAGACTCCCTCCCCACTACCACCAACCCTCCTCTCAATAATAGTCTTGACGGATACGAATATAGCATAACAAACCGGAACCAACAGTGGCGTGATGACGGCTGATAACACAATCACGGCGACAGGCGGTCTGATATTAGCCATCAAGGTGAAGACCCCAACCCCCAGCAAGAAAGTAGAGCAGATGATGAGCTCTACAGGTATGGGCTTCCCCCAGAAGTACCGTTTATTGGAGCGGAGAAGAGTGTAGGCTGGTGGCTGGCCACCCTCTGTGTATACTGGGAGGGAGGACAAGGATGGATTTGGCTCTGGGAGTAGTAGGTCAGGAAAGGGAGCCCGGTGATCTTGGTAGTAGGGGTGAAGGTATGCGCGTGGGGGTATTGTTGGCGCCATTTTTTTGTGCGTTTAGTATTTGGGTGGGTGTGAATCCAGGATTAATGAATAGGTGGGTGGGCAAAGATAGTGGGAAGATTTTCAGTGCACCTTATCTATTAGTACTGATATGTGGCATAGAATTTTCTCTCCGATATCATTGATATGGTGCGAAGCGACTACAACCTGTAGAAATGCTGTTTCAAAAATGTAATACCTCCAATAAGCAGGGTTGGGGGTAATGATCCCCACTGCTGGCATGGAATTTGGTACGCTATACTGTAATATCTTGAGTTATTTATTACTTGTAAAATATGCCTAGTTTTACCACCATGTTTTGCTCTCTGAATATATATATTATTATCATTATTGAATTTCATCATAGTAGGGTGTATAGAATCTCAGCCTAGAAATGGTATAATTACCCCTAACCCTGCTTGTCTGGGGCATTACATTTTGGAATGGCGTTGGTACAAGTTGTAGTCGCTTGGCACCATATGCTGTTGAAGTTTTATTTAAATTGTGGTTGGCCTTTTCTTTCCCTGGGGGAGAGTTCGCAGTGACGTTGGGCAATAATATATTAGGATCTGGCAATTACTAAGGAGCGAGGGCCAGGTTGGGAAAAAGAGGTTTGATGGTCATTGCTTTAGAGATACGGTGTAATGTGATATTGACTTTACTAAGTGGTTTGCCTCGCAATGGATATTACAAAAATACGATATTCGTGAATCTAATTGCTATGGGCGGGAATATGAACAAACGTACTCCTTCTAAATTTAAACCCACTTCCCGCTCTTTGCCGCTCCCACTTTTCTCTTCCTTTCATCCCGCCATAGGAGCTATGGTATTTCTGAAAAAAAACTATCCTTTCCCTTCACATTTTTTACTCAAACACCACCACATACTCGATGTACAGTACCTCCCCTCTTGAATAGGTCGGCCACAGAATCCCCCAGGAACCCTCTCTCAGCTTGTCAGTGTTCGAGTAACCGGAGCTTTTTTCTCCTCTCCATACGTTCCGGCCGTCGGCGGCGCCTCTGCTAGCTTCACCACCGCTCTTAACGCCATGGATCCCCCCTTTCCACAAATTTCACCCAATCAAGTAGAGCGCCCCTCACAGGTTTCTCGGAAACATAATACTTCCCACTACGCTCGTCACGAGGCATAAATCGTAGGGTGCCATAAAGGTATCTGGATACTCGGGACCCATCCTAGTGGTTTTGGCATCTAGAAATTGGTCAAGTGTCTTTTTGGCTTCCCCCTTTCACTACTGCAGGACGGGAGCGGTGAGGGGTATCATAACAGAAGCATTTGCGAGAGGGTCAATTGTGCGCATAGGGTTCTGGATGGATAGGGCCAAGAATTTTGGCATAGGTCGGCACGCACGCTCTGGTGGCAAAGTGGGCGAAGGTTGGGGTTGCGGTATAGCTTTAGTGTTCTCAACGGGCTAGGCCACTGATGGGCCGGCCTGTAGGCCGTGGGCTGGGCCAAGGCAGGCCGCTCCGACGGTGAGCCTAGGCGGATATAGGCTGAACTCAACCGGCCTGCAGGAGCCTATGAGGCCTGGGAGGAGCCTACAGGCCTGTAAGTGGGATTTAGAGCTGGTTGTTTTAGGAGTGGCTCCTTTCCTTACAGTTTTCATTGTGGTTTATTATTTTATCAATACGCTCAATTATTGGTTGAAATAACTACGCGATAAACGATTCACAATCAGCTCAACAAAGTCTAGGAAATCTACCTCTAGGTTCTCCAGCGCAGCCCTATCTCACAATCCTTCCTTCCGATTCAGTTTCTTCCGCTAGAATTCTATTAAATCCACAAGTAAGTGTGTCCGCTAACTTATAGCTAGCCGAGTCTTCCTAGACCTCGTGGATGTTAATCAACCATGAGCAAATCCATATCACTACCTACACATAGGTTCAGCGCCTAGTACTGTTAGTGATCTTACTGATACTCGTTCTAGTCTATTAACACCAGCACGTGGAATTTGCGTAGGGGCTATATAGTTTAAGGTTCTCGAGGGAGCAACTCGGGCCAATTTAGCAGAATGAAAGATGAGCCGAATGGAAACCAAAGATCTGAAGAGATTATAGGCCTGGCTAGGCTATGTGCCATATAGGCCGGGCCAACCTATAAGGCGGCAGGTACTAAGCTTATAAAGCCTATGAAGCCTATAGCTGGGCCCGGCCAGGCCAGGCCCAAGTACCTAAAGCCTGTAGGCTCCGGCAGGGCCAAATATCATAATCGTGGTAGGCCTGGCCTACCTGGCCCTTTGAACACACTGTGAGCTCACGCCGGCCATGAGGGTGCGGAAGCCAGTGGTGGGATTTAGTGGAGAGTTGTGAGGGGCGATGTGAGCCCAGTGAGTGTCCAGGAGAGGAAAGTAGCTGTTGTGGGGGTCTTTAGGGTGAGATTGGAGATGAGTGATTGGAGTGATCTTATCATGTTCTATAATACGGTTTTAGAATAATAACTCGCTGTCACTTGGACTGTATATTAAACACCTCCCTCGCATACCACCTTATATCTTTTTTATTACTTGCACCACCCAGTGGAACCATCCCTTACAATCACATCCCGTTCTGCACTAATCTTGCGCGTACACTAGGCCCACCTGGCATGGCGAAGCCTCACCGACGGTGGAAAGTTCCCTAATGGAAGTTTGTCCGGGAATTTGGCCCACTCAACTGTTTCTGCCTGAGTATGCTACCGAGGCGATTAAAATTGCCGTGCCGGATACTTCCCTGAGCCATCACCTTTGTCTGCTAAATTAGGACATAACTTCATACATAAAAATCTACTCCCCCCCCCTCGTTCGTGCGCCATATTTCGCACCTGGCGAACGCATCCACTAGTTATGCATTTCGGAAGCGCTCTGTTGACTGCGCTAGTGCTACTTCCACTTTCTCAGGCCAGACCTGGGCGATTTGATGCCAGTTTTTATTCTAAAACCCCAATGCTTTCGCCTACGGGTATAGCAGATGGTACCAACACTTCTGCAATGGGAGAGCCCAAAAGAACCGGACCAGACCCCGATGGGCCGATAGAAATTCCCGAATGGGATTTCCACGAGACAATCAAGTCCGGTTACTGGTATGATATCCATATTCCTCTCCTAGAGTCCTAGAGGGGAAATTATTGACTCAGTAGGTTCGTCAAACACTACATGTCCTGGTGTGACTATTCGAGGGATGCAGCGCCGGGGTGGTATGACATAGCGTTAGCCTACACACGTTTGAACGTCAGTATCACTCGCCCTTTCCAAATGACGGTACCCTTTACCAAATTCTACAACTTCACTTTCGCCTCGTACGAATGCTCGGGGGCTGGTGGTGAACTCTGCGCGGCTCTGGAGCTAAAGATCAACGGTTACCCCAAATTCAACCTCAACAAAGATGGCATCTTTATTGAGCAGTGGGATGGTGGAGACCATAACACGTTCATAGAAGGCTTTACTCTCTTCGTGGAGGAGTTCCTGGGTAAGAAGTTCCTGGGAAATAGAGAGCTCATGGACCTTTCCGCGCCTCGGAGTGCAGAGGCGAGGAAGGCGGCTGAGGAGGACACTCAGAAATGGGACCCAGACACCGCTATCCTTCCTGAGAGGGCGCGGGCGGAATAGATCAGGGAGCTTCGGAAGATCTGGGGCTTGTTGGTTGTGGATATCGCTGGTGATTCATTTGAGGGTGTTAAGCAAGGGCCAAAGACCTCGGGGAGGTCGCCGGCGATCTGAAGGATGCTACCGATGGGGGTATTGAAATTGGGTTGAGTGAGGAACTTGGAGAGGAGAAGATTGTAGAGACGTCCTCTGCTATCGCTAGACTGCATCGTTTTATCAGGGGTATATTTCTTCGTCCAGGGTGGTATAACTAGCAGGTTACACATTAGATGGACTGAGTTTCCTATAGTGTAAATCTGTTATAGTAAATCACGTTACTGTGTCCCGCTTTGGGCATTTCAGTATGGAGCGATAGTTGTCTTTTTTTTTTTGTCGAGTGACGTCCTCTGCGACGGTGTTTTGGCTGAATCCGTGTAGTCCGTAGGGTTTCAACAGTGGAGGATATCATAAAGTACAATTACTTGTAATGGGGTATTTTTCAATGGCTATTCCGGGGTGCTAAGTTTATCAGAAATTTAGCATGTTTACGAGATGTCAAACCTAGTTTAACTAATTATTGTCAGGTTTGTATTCCACCGGAACTCAACTCCTTACTGCACGAAACCATGAAACGATGCGGGAAAGTACTTGTATCATACCATCGGTGTCCATACCAGCACAGCCTCCAGCTACATCTCGGTCTCAAACAACACCCTGGCATCCGGGCACGATCTCGGCGAAAACGCTCACCGATCCACAACATTCACGGGACGTACCCCTAAAGCTTAAATAGTCCCGCTCAGCGGCGAACCCCCTCAACCTGCTCTTCAACCCCCCGCAAGCTCGGACACACTCTGTTACCGGCCCTTCAGCGATTCCATTCTGATTTATGCCCTGTTCCAGTGGTATGCAGAAAACCTCGCGTATCGGCTTTTAAGGACTGGTTCGGATAAGATTGCCCTCAGGATTGGAAGGGGGGGAATTATCGGGAATGACAGTGGGGTGTGGATGGGGGCTGGATGGTAGGCAAGTGGTGTGGCTTGGCGGGGTGAGGGGTGAAGGGTTGGTTGGTGGGTATGGTAGGGGGCTGATTGGTAGGCTCGGGAATTTGGAGGCTGATGCAGAGTAATGTTTTCAATTTACTCAAGATTTCAAAGGGGACAGGGAGGGGGGGGTAGGAGGGGGATCGGCGGGAGCATTTTTTTCTGATTTTTTGCGTGGAGGAGCAGGTACTTTGCGCGGCCGCTATTTACACGCTCGCCAGAATGGCAATTTGACTCGCTAAGCGCAAGGATACTTGAATCCTGGTTACGACCTCGCGGAAGGGACATACCGTATTAAAAAGCCATTTGGTTCCTATTCAGCACACTGCGGCGCGAGGAGTTTGGTGCGACAAGGCCGCTTCGCTAGCATTAGACACATCACATACTACCTCTCACAATCATATTTCTTTACGAAATCCCGCCGCTGCACTGGCTGCACGATGGTGCCCTACGAAAAAAAGAAATTTTTTTTCCTAGCAAGTAACCTATTGCTGTCGTTCCCACGGGCCTGGACGATCGGCATGATCACCAGCTTGTCAGTTACCCCGAACGTCATACAAGATCTCACGGAAAAGGCCAACGGTTTGGATATCAACGCTTTCGGACAACGAATTGGAAATGCGCTGGCCGTCCTGCAGCTAACTAATATTTCTATGGGTCCCTGGGAGGGGTTTGTGTTCAGATAAGGCCGGTAATAGTAACGAGTGATTACTTGTGATTATCGTGTGGGGTTACATGCACTCCTTAGGTGCTGAAGAACATAGGACTGGATGGGATGGGATGGGGCTTAGGAACGATTGCCGGAGATTGAGCTAGTGCGGGGAATTCCCTCGTTCGCTAGTGAAGTAAATATAAATGCCTTGAAGACAACCAAGGATTCTATCTCCCAGGCGACCATACTCCTCCTCAGTATCAACCAAGAAATTAATAAAAAATGATAATTGCACCTGCTCCCCAACATCCTTCTCTTGGAAGCCGCCTCCGTGGGGTATCCCTACATTGGACGCATAGTGAAGTTCCGCGGCATCAAATTCTGCGAGTTCACCAAGAGATATGCGACGTCTACGATGGTGGACTGGTACCCTGCCGAGACGGATCCCTCCAGTCATTGGTAAGCCTCCATCCATCTCCCTAAGTCAGACCAGTGCTGTAAATTCCCTCCCCAAGCCCCATGTGTCCTAGAATCATACCCCCGGAGGATATATAATACCCTCTCTTGGATCCCTAGGCGCGACTGGCGACACCCTCCTCAGCATACCAAATCTCAACAAGCGCAATCCCCCCTCCGGGTCCCCGCTGCAGGCCGGCGCATCCACGGTGGGGCCCTGAAATTCTCCTCGGACCTCCTGTTCTCCCCGAGCCACCTCATCGACAATACCCGGCGTTGTGAGATGAAGTAGGTGCAAGAATACAGTCACGAACCCCCCCAACCCCATGGGGGACCCAGAATAGGGGAGCTCGTCACCCCGTGAAGATTCAGTCGTTCATTGGGGGCTACGTATTTCCAAAGAGTGGAGCGAGGAGGCGAGTAAAGTGCAGGCGGGGGCCATGCGAGAGCACTTTATTGACTTTTATTGGTGAGGATGAGCCTTCCGAAACGGTGGAGGGGGAGGCGATGGGGTACGGCCCCGCCGGAAAGGTCGCTGTGGGGTGGAAGGATAGGAGGAACATTAAGGCTTGGGAGCCATGGGGGGGCTGATAAAGGGTGAGTTGGCTGGGGCGTATGATATGGTTGGCTGGTGTATCGGGCAGTGCAACTTTTTTTGGCGTCATTGACGTTTGGGGGCGCTTCGCGGGCCCTCTCCTTTAGTTCGGTGAGGAATGTTTTGGTATGAGTTTGCCGTGTCCCCAAGGCACGCTAAGAAGAAACCTTTGTCGGGAAGGATCTTGCGGTTCTGTTGTAAGGTAGATGTTGTTCTTGGGATACGGGGCTTGGTGGAATTTAGTGGTACAAATTTGGCTATAAGTTACACACTCCGGGGAACCCAGAACTAGGAAATTGTGAGAAAAAGCATGGTCTGCCTTGCATTGCGCTAAATGCCAGTAGGGAAGGAGTGAAGGCCGAGAAACTGCCCTGTAGGGTGACGGTAGTAGTAGCAGTAGTAGCAGCAGTAGTAGTATGATAGTATCGGGGCAGTGGCTTGTAGCAGTTCCCGGCAATTTTGGTGTGCGTATCGGATGTTTCTCTCGCTCGCTTCAGGGATGAGGTGAGCCTGGCTGAGGTCGTTTTGAGAGACGTTGGGGGTGGGGAGCGACCAGAGAGATGTGCAAGATGGGCATCTTCGGTGTTTGCGTGGGATATATTCTGAACTGTCGGTTTATGGACATTCGTTCGGTTTGTGGATGACTGCACTGTACAGTGCTTCCAACTGTTACATAACCACGTCGGCCCCTTGCAGCTATGATCCCGTGGGGAATATTCAAACTCACCAATAGCGCTGAGTGGTTTGTGCCCTTGGAAGACTAAAGATCTAATTCAATCTAATCGCTGTTATCGAAATTTGCCCTCGATAGCGTGCCTGGAGACAACAGCGGGTTTGTACCGTGCTGTATAAAGGGAGCTGAATTCCCCTTCCGTCTCTCTCCCTCTCTCTCTCTCTCTCACCTCTCACAACCACGCTCTTGGAAGAAAGGGAACCCCAAGCACACAACACAATGGCGAAACCACATCCCAACTATGCCGCTCTTGCACAGCATTTGAAAAATCTGGCCAACGAGGTCGTCTCATTTCCGAATATTATCTCATTCGGCAAAGAGCCTAAGATACGCGAGTTGGTGGCGAAGATTCGAGAGGATGCTCAGGTCTTGGAAGAAGATGTACGGCTTCTTTCTCGGCTCATCCGGGAGAATATAGAGCGTAACGAAGCTCGTCTTCGGGCTATCGAGGGCCAAGATCAAGCCTCCGGCGGCGATAACGATGAGTAAGATGCTTTTTTCCTTGAAGAGAACTGCTTGAAGGCTATTGGCTCTGACCACATCATAGACTGTCTCAACATCTGTCTAGTGTCTCGTTGAGTGAGTCGGCCGAGGCCGGGCACCCAACTAACTTTGATGGAGTGATTGCACAAGGAACAGACTCTAGCCCTGAGGTACTCTCGTAACTTTCTCCATTCAAGAGATGTTTTTACTCTGTTTCTGGAAACAAGCTGACGTCTGATACATCTAGTGGGTAACTGAGGGGATTTGATTGAACATCCTGGCTTAAGATCGGTACACCCTGTAAGGGTTGTTTATAGCGGTCTTTAGAAATTTGGATACAGGTTCTCTTGGTGTTTTGATTTCTGCGCAATGGGGATTATTTCTTTCACCAGTTGTTAATATGCTTGTGCTGTCAAACCCGGAAGCTATATAGAAGGGTAGGCTAATGACAAAAGCTACTACTGGTTTAACGATCCGCCGGTAGAGTGTCATAGAGGGGGTAGCGCGTTGCTTGTGACTATGTTACCGTGTACTTGCATTAAAGTGCTCGGGGGTGGGTATGGACAGATGTGACAATGTTTGTGCGGCGCGTCAGGGAGGCGGCAAGAGGATGGTAGAACATACGTGGGCCACCAACTGAAAACTCTAGGCATTCGGAGTTGTATCACTATACATTTCCCTTGTCACGAGAACTCGCTGAGAACATTCCTTTTCGTTACTCCCTTTTCCTCTGCGACAGAACACCATGAGAAAGGAGAGTCTAGCGCAGCGGTCGGGGGAGTTTTTCCGGACCCGCCATGTTTGACCATCATTACCTCTCATCTTTTCCGAATACCTGCCGGGATAACGGGCGAAACAGGTGTACACGCAACAAGAATATCATCACCCCCCATTCGAACACATAATTCCATCCCGTCCACACCTGTCCACTGTAGGCTTATGATCATTGATATTGGAGGTACTGCTCACATGATATGTGCCCAGACGTAGTTGGATGAAATTGAAGAAAAACAGGTAGAGAAATAGGAGTATTCGAGTATAAAAAAGTGGTAGTAGATAGATCGATCGGTTTGAGATAGGCAATTCACTCGGACAGAATAAAATGGTTCAAAGTTCGCATAATGATTTCTAACTAGCTCACCAGGTCCCTTTTCATAAGACTTGCTTCTTCCTATGCCGTGCCTGTGTGGGTGAAAAGTTTTCACCTCTATCAAGGGGGAAGAGAATTTTCTCTCAATGAAACGAATGAAATAAGAAGGAAACCTGAAGGAAACAAGGAAGAAACTTTCAGCTGCAGGAGGATAAGGGATCAAACAGCGGAAAGGTGAAATGAATTGAGGTACGCAGGGGACAATATTCCAACAGAAATATCGTTCGTTACCCGTCACCGTCCTCACGTGCAGGCTTGACAATGTACTCGTAGTCTACCGTAACTATTAGAATTTGCCACATACCGATTTTGTCCCCGCTGAGAGACGGAATATCATACTTCCGGGAAGGGAACGCGATCGTTCCCTCCCTCTGTCAGCCGTAGTAAAGGTAGACAATCGACGCTTTCGCAAATGCTATGGGGGATATTCACCAGGGTGTGCTTCTTGTCCCTGCGGTGTCGTACATCCACTCGCATCGTAAACAAGCGCGAGGGCGGTCTCCAGCACAGGTGTCGTTGGGTTTTCGTGGCTGCTGCGGAAGTGGGTTTTTTCCTTTTTCTTTGCCGTTTGGTGTTTGGCGTTTTTATACTTGAGGTATGGATTTCTCCCCGTAAGTAGTGGTCTATGCGTATGTACTAGTATAGTACTGGTGGTATCCCATTCGTGTACTGGAAGTCATTTCTGGTGGGGTAGGAGGACGACCAAGGGAGCGACGGGAGTGTGGTGTATCATAAGGAATCTTACCGGTTGCGCTTTTCCTCTGCTACTACGGGAGCGTACGGAGGATGGAGGACGCGCATGGTGGAAAGAACAACGGAAGGGAGTCTCAAATCTTTGGTTCTGGGCTTACATCTATCGTACTCGGCTCTTGCACCCTTGGTCTGGCTTGGGGAGAAGGGAGAAGAAGGGAAGGGAAGAGGGACGGGAGTGAAGAAATTTTAGCATTGAGAGATAATGCTTCTTATCCGAAGTATCGCTTCGGCGTGGCGGGAACGCGTTTGCCTTTGACCATTAGGATTTATGTCACTGCGCCACAGCTCGATAGAAGTGTTTATGTCGGAGAACATCTGTGATCCCGATTGCAGGATCAGTCACGTTACGGGGGGGGGGTAACGTTTGCTCCTACTGTAATTCCTCCCTAATGGAAGATCTCAGCTCGACGGAAGATTTTAAATCATCCACTGCATGAACACCCCCCACCTCTTTAGATTATTCAGATTGGTTGTTCCGCCGCCCGAACAACTTTCTAAATTTCTTATAAACTGGTTTCCACTGTTTTTTTTTCCTTGGTCCTGAGGTGCCTCTCTTTGCCATCTTAGTTGACCTTGTGTTTTCACTCACCCACTTGGCTTTCAAGCAGCTCTCTAGTATCGTACTCAAAACTCGTGTACCATAGCCGCAATATTTGGCTCATAAGTTTCAGATAACTTCTCACAGAGATTTTGGATCCTAGCCTTAATGTTGGAATAATTTTTAGATACAGATATTGGTTTTAGGAGTAGGTATTAGGTTGAAATTCATACTGAGGATAAATGCGCACAGTTACACAATCGGCGGGGGGGGAACCTGGCACGGTTACTGGTATATGACCTGATGTCTAACACTTGGTACAGTACAGTACAACCTCGCTTGCCTTCTGGAACTGTAGCCGCTGCGGTGGCATCCAGGTGCTGCGGTAGGGGAGGATCTGTGATTTCCACTGCTGGACGGTTCCATTCCCCTGGGCATCCCCAATCCTTGGGCGCTACGCATGTGCCCCGACCCGAGGATAATTCCGCACAGATGACTTGTACGATTGGGAATAATGGAGACGCTCCTCTGCGTTAACGTTATCGGCTTCGAGCTTGTCCGCAGCATCATGAACTTCCCGCGCTGGTGTGTTGTCTAAGTAATGCTAAAAAATCAAATCCCGAACGCCACTAGCTGTACTGCAATGAGTATCCCCTTCTTCAAATTCGTCATTACCTCCCGTGAGGTGTCTGGAGTTTTCCGTCTTTAGGATGCATATCCGGCACCTTCGAATCCGCTAGCCGTGGCGAAATAGGGATTGAAAGGGCCGTGGTCGCGATGCCGGTACCAGTGGTTTACGTATTGCAGGAGAAACGAGAATGGGTAATGGTGGTTGACTTTGGGTTACATAACAGGCTGCTCTTTTTGGTATGAGTACAACACGTGACTAATCTGAGATATGTCTCACGGGCATTTTTGTCTACTGTACTAGCTTAGCTCTAATGACTAATATCCGGTAACATAAAAATCCTTCTAGGGATTGTCGGCCTCCTCTAATGTGTCCACCTACGGTGGGAAGGAAATTATGGATCTGGCTTCATTGCTTCGCTTGGATTTAAATTACTTGAGGATCTGGTCGGCAGCACTGATTACCCTTCTCTGCAGTCTCCATAACTCATTCAGAGCCTATATCACCCTAGTACTTTACACGAGGGAAGAAAATCCATAAGTGAAAGCGATGTTACTTGATCATTGCTTGGTTTGGTGAATTTGATACCCAGGTATGCACATTACGGATCCTGGTTGCTCGCACGGCCGCCGGACGGCCCGGGGGCAGCTATCCGTTACGTTAGTCGGAGGCGGCGCAATGCCAGTGACAGAGGAGGGATTAGGCACGGCGTCCATCCACCTTGGTGAGTAGCCAAAGGGATAGTCAAAAAAGAGAATGAAGAGAGTCGTTTCGAAGGCCGAGCTAAAATGACCAAACACGGCACCGTATCTGCCTATCAGAGGAATATCGTGTCTGGCCCGGGGGTAGCAATAGAAGCTGTAACTAACTTATGATACCGAGGGGAGAGCTGGGAAGTAGGAAGAGCGAGGCTGGGAACTGTAGGTTCGTACACACAATTTGGAAGCACCCCAAAGCACTTGCTTGTCTTTTCGAGGCTAGGGAGGGTGTTGCGGTCAAACTACGGTATGATATACATGCCTCACTCGATAAGTTCCCCAATCTTGCATTGAGAAAGAATTCCGAAGAAAAATACATGCGATCGCCATCGCCTTTTTTTTGCACCGTAAGCGGTGCACACGACGCGCGGGTTTCATCTCCCTTTTCCGGACATGGGTGCGGAGAACACATTCCGGAGGTGACTTGAAAAAGGAATAGACCGGGAGTCCTAGGCCTAGGGTACACGGATAGTCTTGAAGGGCCTTGTATGGTGCCCGGTGGGTTTCCAGACCGGTTTGTCTTTCTTCCACGTATGATAGATCATCTATCGGAACATGTAAGGGCAAAGAAATTATGATAAGATTTTGGGCAAGTCTGGGATCGAGCTTATGGTTACACTCGGGTGACATTTGGTATGGATTGCCAATGCCAGTCATGTTGAGCGAGGCCCATCCACTCGTAGAGTTCTCGCACGACAGATAGACGTAGTTGACTCGGGACGATTGGATTCGCAGTAACCGCCATTGAATAGGCTTCGATATCCAGCAGATTCCTTACAGATGTAATTCTTTTGGACTTCTACTCTTGCTGGAAATGTTGCTGCTCGCTCCAAATAATAGACTCAGAGCTTACCCGAGTGCGCTTGGGTATCTGTCATATGCCACCGGCAAGGCTCTAGCTCAGGCAGGAGATCTATTGCAGGAAATGCCATAGAAACCCCGGAGAAGCAGTCTGGCGGAAACAACTCCTACGATACTGACTATACCTCAACCCCCCCCCAAAACCCTAACCCCCACAATCGGCGAAAACCAAACCTCTTGGCGTTCCCGCAAGTTGTCTATATAAACCCACCACTCCCACCTCCTTCTCCTCTTTTTTCCTCAGCTCTCTTTGCCTTTTGGTGAGTTCCCCACAACTTTCCCGCCTATCCCGCCTATCCCGCCCGAGCACTGCTAACTATGGAGCAGGCTTAGATCAAGTGTAGTATCTGTTCTTTTCAGTTTGATCACTGAAACGGCTCTCCGGAGCCAGTTCTTTGGTTATTCCTATTTTTGTTTACCCCGGGGATCTTGCCTCTGGCATGCCATGCTTGATCTCCACCGTGTCGCTGGTATTGCACTGTCTCCGGCTGATGCGAATAACTTTACCATTGTATTGATTTCTGGCCTTTGCGCGAGGGGTTGAGGCAATGATGCTTTTTACTCCTGTTTGTTTGTGTCAGAGGAGTGGGTTGTATAGAACCTGAGGGTATATCTAAAAGTCCGGTGGAACAAAAATTCGGCGAGCGATGCGTTAAATGTCCAACAGAATGACCTCGAAGAATGACAATCCGAATTGATTGATTCCTAAGCAGTTAAAGGGGGCTGGTTCGACAGTGCTTGCTTTACGGTTTTCCAAAACATTTGACACACCCACCAATTTTTTTC